CCGATCTCCATAAATGCGTCTATGTTCGAGCGAATCATTCGTGATCCAGCCTCATCTACAGAAGAAGTGAGTATAAGGTTTTTTAATGAATCTTTGCAAATCACCTTTCCTAATAATGTGCTAATTAGCAAGTTTCACGATGAATGCAGCTAAAGTAAACAGTCTCTCTGAGAGCGGCTCGGAAGAGAGGGGCGGGGTCAGCAGAGCTCATTAACATTTAAAGGAAAATGCTACAAAACAGCTTGATCTGAAAAGAGCTGTTTTTGACAGGGTAAAAAAAGGTGTTTTTACACTACCATTGAGAAATTTTAACCAAACTATGTTACAGACTTTTCATTAAGACCCTAAACTTGTGGAAAATGGGCATCCTATGACCCATTTAAGAAAAATCGGCACGTACTGTTCCTGATATAGGCTGTCCAAATGAATCAATATCACATTGAATCAAATTGAAATAGTAATCAAATTGAATCAAAAGCTTGTGAATTGGAATCTGTCAATACTTCTCCCTAGTCACATTTGCTATAGACTGCAGCTCGAAGGTTTGGCACACAGTGTTTCCTCTTGCTTTGGGCCAAACGGTTGCTGCGCAGCCACTAAACACAACTAAATATCACTTCATATCATTAGTGAATTTGCGCAATGGGTGTGTGCACGTGTATTCTAGATCCAAAACACATTTTCCCTCATTTAAACTCTTCAACAACCAGATTCTGCACTTATTCCTTATTCCACTCTTCCTAATAATGTCCTACTGTACCTTTAAGTCTTCTACTGTACTGTATATGTAAATAATATCAACTAACTTATAGCAGAGTTCACTGGTATTCTTCAGGGATGCAAAATTACTAAATTATACAGAGATGTTGATATTGACAGAAAATATTTAGTGTGTTTTATAAAGCATCTGCACACTTGGACTGATCTGCTCTATGTGTTTTGTGTGTTCAGGTGAAGCCGTCTGGGATCACATGACTTACTGCTGCTTATTTTAACACGACATCTCAGATAAACAATGATAAGCTTCAAAGAGGAAATTCAGGACGGTGACATGAGATCGGACTCACAATTTATGACCAGTAATAAACTTCCCTCTTATCTGCTCACTGACTCAACTGATGAGTTTTCCTGGGAAGGGCTGGGAATGGAGATCCGCTTCCACTTTTAGAAAATTACTGGAACCCAATGAGTTTCATGACGATTCCCGAATATTTTCCTCTCATGCAGATGAAACATATACTCAAGACGAGAGACAGAGAAAGAACAGTTTTTATGTTGTGTTTCCTGGAAGAAAGAAAAGGCTGCAAATTTAAAATAAAATAAATCTGCCAAAAAACCTTATAATAACTTATATAACATATAATCTACCAATAATTATATAATAATAATGATGTACTCAAAACGAGAGAGAGAGAGAAACAGATATTACGTTGTCTTACTGGAAGAAAAGGAAGGCTGCAAATTTTAATTGCACAAATATGCTAAAATAATAAAATAAAATATTCATTAAAATAATTTTTAAAAAAATCTGCTAAAATAAACAAAAATATATTATAATAGTTCAATAACTCAAAACAAATCTGCTAAAATAAAAAAATAAAAAAAAAACAATCTGCTAAAAACATTATAATTACATAATAATGCTGTACTCAAAATGAGAGTGAGAGAGAAAGAACAAATATTACATTGTGTTTCCTGGAAGAAAAGAAAGGCTGCACATTTTAATTGCACAAATATGCTAAAATAAAATATTTATTAAATAATAATATTATAATAATTAAAAAACACAAATCTGCTAAAATAAACAAAAATATATAATTAAAAAAACAAATTTGCTAAAATAAAATAATAATAATATAAATAATACAAATCAAATAATTAATGTATTATAATAATTCAAAAACACAAATCTGATTAAATAAAAGAAATAATTATATATATATTTTTTCTCCTGAAGGGCTGGGAATGGAGATCTGCTTCCACTTTTAGAAAACTACTGGAACCGAGTGCAGTCTAACTCATGCACAAAACAGGTTTGGAAATCAGCTGAACTGCCGTGAAAACTGTAGTTTAGTCGGTTACATCCGACACAGAGAACATGTTACTCCAAACACATGCCGTGGAAGAAGCAGCGGCGTTTGGATGGAAGAATAATTGAGAAAAAGCCTGAGGCCCGTGACCTGCCCTTCAGCTCTTTAATAAGAGTCTGGAAAGCATTTGCATCTCATAAAACATTTTTACGGATGAGTCCCAGAGATCCTCCATCACTGTCCTGCATGAACAGCTGCTCTCCTTCAGTCCGGTCAGTGGCTCTCCAGCACTGAAAGATTTCCTGTTGCCTTCACACAGATGAGATGTTTCCATGTATGAGCACACGGCCCTTCATTCGGGGTTATTAATAAAGCAAGGTCCATGTCCAGTAGCAGATTTATAGTTAGGGGATCGGACCAGTGCAGTGGAGGGACACAGGACACAGATTTTACCCTAGGACATCAGCTGGCAACTCAACAAAGTATTAAAAGTGTTTATCGTACAAAAATGACTGAAGAAACAAGATTCTTATTAGCAGGGGAGGGGGAGGGGCATTCTCACCCAGGGGAGCGTTTGATTGGTCAAAAATCTGTTTAGTGCAGCATGAGTTCTTCTTCATATTTTCCCACTTCCTGGAAGAGAAAGACTGCAAATTTGAAATGCACAAATCTGTTCAAATTAAATGAAATAAATAATTATAATAAATCAATTCAATTATAATAGTTCAAAAACACAAATCTGCTAAATATAATAAAAAATAAATAAAAGTAATTAAATGCAATGCAATAAAATGTCATTCTAATAATTTAATGATGCAAACATCTGTTGAAATAAAATAAAAATAATATGAATAAATGTATGTAATTATACAGTGTGCAGAAACACAAATGTGCTAAATATAAAATAAAATAAATATATAAAAATAAAATGATTTAATTCAAATTTAAAAATAAAAAAAAAACATTTGGTGAAATAAAAATTATTTTAATATAATTTAATTCTAATAATTTAATAAAAAGAAATAAAATGATATTAATAAATTAATTTAATTAAACAGTGTGCATAAACACAAATTAGCATAAATAAAAAATAAAATTAATATAAATATATAAAAATAAAATGATTTTAATTTTTAATAACATTTAATAAATTTAATAACTCAAAAAACATTTGCTGAAATAAAAACAATTATAATAAATTAATTTACTTCTAATAATTTAATAATTAAAATGTTTGCTGAAATAAAATAAAAAATTATATTAATAAATTAATTTAATTATACAGCGTGCAGAAACACAAATCTGCTGAATATATAATAAATATAAATATATAAAAATTTGATAATTTAATTATAATTGAATAATTCAAAAACATTTGCTGAAGTTAAATAATTATAATAACTATTTTTAACTAATAATTCAATAAATAATTATAATAATTCATCAATTCAGAAACTCAAACCTGCAAAACATAAAAAAATTATATGTATATAAGATGTAATTCTAATAATTGAATAATTCAAAAATATCTACAGTGTGCAGAAAAAGAAATCTGCAAAATATCAAAATAAAATAAATATATAAACAAATAAATAGAACAGTTTAATTATAAATGTAATAATTCAAAAATATCTGCTGAAATAAAAAAATAATAATAATCATTTAATTATAAAAATTCAATAATTAAAAAACACAAATCTGATAAATACACAAATAACAACATAAATATAAATGTCTAAAAAATAAATTCAAATGCAAAAATAAAATCAAACATTTAATTATAATAATTAAATAATTAAATATCTGCTGCAATAAAACAAAAATAAGTATAATTAATTAATTTATAATTATAATAATATAGACGCTAATAGACAAACCACAAAACTACTATGCTTGATTATAGGGTTATTTGCATTTTATGATTGTTTTGGGAATCCATTTTTGGGTCAGATTCACCGGTCATGAGCCACAGAGGTCAGGCCACTTTGAAACGTTTGCTTTGGGAGCATAGCGTAAAGTTTATACCCCGTGTTTATATGGACAGTACTTCCTAAAAAGAAATGGGACGGGTTGCGACAAACACTTTACGAGTCAAGGTTGAAAAACACTGCAGTAATAAATCACAGCGAGTTCCCATTTGGTTTAGCGAGTTGATATGAAGCAAAACAGGATTTCAGTTCTTATCAGAGCAGCAGAGACTGTATCCTCTAACCTGAATCATACGGGGGAATTTACCTCACTATTTCCACCGCAAAACACAGAGAGAGAGAGCGCATGAACGCTTAGGATAAATG